GGGGTGTTGTTCCCGTTGTCGAAGAAGTCGCACACGTTTTGCACGATTTTTCCGACGTCGTGGTACCTGTTGTCGACAGGCACGCGTTGGTTGACGCACAACATCAACATCACGCATTTACATCATGGACGGTGAATAATCCCATGTTGCGTGGCGTTGGTTGATGCACAACATCAACATCACGCATTTACATCATTGACGGTGAATAATCCCATGTTGGGTGTGTTCGTGTCACCTATTTTGGCGGGAGTCCGGGCACGTTTCTTTTTTTGCCCCAGCCGCCCCCCCCCCCCACCGTTGACACATACCTCCCCGTGTTCTAGCTCGGAGAAAAAACATGATCTTTACAGAGAAGAGGCATCGTCGCAACTACTCAATCGAAAGGTAGGCGCAGGCCTAGAGGCTCCAAGCGCGCATCACATCGTACGTCAAAATGTGACGGGTGGCCGCCCGAACGCACACTTGCACACTGCCGAGTCGTCGAGTGAGCAACACGGTAGATATGACGGGCCGCAGACAAGTGAGATGCCGGGTTTTTCGCATCTTCATGACCCAAAAGGGCGATTACAACAGCTTAATGTTATGCAAATATGCACACGTGCAACCGGTAGCTCTTTCTTCGTTCGGGAGCAGTGGAAGAAAAAACAAATGCCGTTGACAGCAGAGCAATCAATGCTCGCAACAACAAAAAATGTACCATCTACAAGCAATAAAAAACAAAATCTGACCTCATCCGAAAGAATCAAAAATACATTAAAACGAGACCTGATCCGAAAGAACAAAAAAAACGTCTGACTGTATGATTACTATCGGAAAGAACCAAAGAAAAAAAGAAAAACACTGACCTTATCCACGGCCCGCAGGTCGGCATCTTGATCAAGAACGGCGACAAACAGGCGCAGATCTACGATATTGTACAACAACACGAGCGTCGTCATCGTCACGGCAGAGGCAGGCAACACACAACGGGAAATGGAAGGGAAGAAGCTGCACCGTTACAGTAGGTTGCGTTGGTAACGTTGGAGGCGGCTGTGAACCCTTTCGAGTAGGGGGAATGTTGCAATGAAAATCTCTACAGGGTAGTGTGAAAACAGGAGGGGGTCCTGGTGTAGAGTCTACGGAGAGAAGAGGCCAATTTTGAAGGCCACCCACGCAACACGTAGCTGCAAAGATCTACAGTACCTTCATACGTTGCGTAGAGTGTTCTTCTACGCATACGTTCAATTTTTGTAACAAGTCTTCACGATCCTAGTGTACCCGGTGCATAGTACTCATTCTGTTCCACTTTTGGGTCCCTTGCTTGTTACGGCACATACAAGAACTTCGATTCTTGTCTGCCCACCCATACCCAACGGCCATTTTTTTTTTCTCGTTTCGAGCCTGGATTTCTTGTCCGTACCTTATGGAAATGTAAAAGTATCGCGGTCGCTACATGCCTACCCTCATCGAGACCGCCCCCCGGTGCAAAGGGGATGATCGCACCACGTTGTGTTAATATTGGTCAAGCACCCTTGAGGCAGTTACACAGTGCATACAACTGTCTCTGGAAGTGAAAGCACCAGAAAATAAATTAAGTCACACAAGCAGCTGTCATCCGTTTGCAAGGAAGTGAGCACAAGATGCCGAACACCCTTAGCAGGATGCAGCGCATTCTTCATGCGACTCGCAGAACACCTCACGGCGCTTCGGGCTTGGTGACATGAGAGCCTGGTCCGGTGATAACCCGCCGTGCTCCATCCCGGCTTGTAGGGATGCGAGGTCTACGGTCCAAGCACTACGGCATGCACGGCCATGATCACACCCCCTGTAGCATCCTGCGTGGACCCCTCCCCCTCGCCGCCGTTCTCTGTCCCGGCTTTGTAGGGATACAAGGTCACTGATCTAAAACTAAGACGTAAGTACGCCCCCCCCTCCCCCGCAGCATTATGGTCAAACGACTACGGCATGCATAACAGAGCACACCCACCCACACCCCTGCCGCATTCTGCGTGGACCCCACTCACCGTGCTCTCCTCCGCGAGCAACTTCTCCAGGAACTGCACGGTGGCTTGCGATGCCTCTTCGTCCCCCGCCTCGGCCTCCTTCACGCACTCCTGGAACGCCGTCGCGAGCTTTTCGGCGGTCTCTTGCTCAAGGGCCTTCACTTCCTCCTCGCTCATGTTGTCGTCCGGCGGGGGAATCTCCTCCTGACCCGAAAAATGAAAGGTGCGAAACAAAAAAAATGGCAATCAATCAGTGTATAGGCTTAGATAGACTCAACGTATGCCCAGCATCCAGCCTCCCACTCACTCTCAAGACTTCGACACACCGCCTTCCGACTGCTGTGGCAAAGTTTCATCACCAACGGGTATATAGTCTTTCTGTCATTGTTAATGACACAGGTATACTAACAAAAAAAAAATAATGAGGGGAAACCCAGCCACCCGAATAACTGGATGGGAAAACCGCGAGATTAACTATGCCCGCAGGAACCGCGGTTACTGCCATCAAGTCGCGGCAGAGCCACATCCAACAACTTGGTAGATAGCATACGTCCGAGGGTAGTCGGGATGATAGCGTGCACAATCACGCTTGCTACGCTGATGCATTTGACGTGTGTGCTCGATTCCTCCCGTATCCCACACAATCAGCGCGAGGACTGTCGCAGTACCCTGCAAGTACGCTGGAATGGCGACGGAAAATCAGTCTACAGTAATGGTGGTCCTTGCTGAGGGCGCTATCTGTATCGTAGCACTGAAAACCTGTTGACTGTTGACCCAGCTGGCCCTGCTAAGCCTCACCGCGATCTCGTCGGCCTTGGTCTTGAAGCAAGCCGCCGCATCTTCGAGAATGGCCACGTCGGCGTGCACCAAGGCCTGGAAGTCCGCGTAGTCAAGGAAGGCGCACTTCACGTAGTTCGCGGTTGCCTGCGCACGTCACGACAGGGACGTGAACCACGGTACGGAATACATAGCGTTGCGGTATGCATAGCGAGGCAGGCACTGCTGGTGACCGAAAACTGAAAAGCTCTTGGTATGTAATTGATCACATGGTTGGCCGCGGCATACCACGGTATGCATAGCGAGGCAGGCATTGTTGGTCACCGAAAAATGAAAAACTCTTGATACGAATATTTGATTCCATAGTTGGCGGTGGCATACCACGATACGCATAGCGAGGCAGGCATTGTTGGTGACCGATAAATGAGAAACTCTTGATACGAATATTTGATCACATCGTTGGTGACCGTAAAATGAAAAATTCTTGATATGAACCGGATCACATAAATAGTTGGCGGTGGCCTATGTACGAAAAATCACAAGAACATGAGCCACGGTACGGTATGCATCGCGAGGCAGGCATTGTTGGTGACCGATAAATGAAAAATCCTTGACGTTGCTTGGTTGACGACACCAGCTGTCAGATTTTCAAGAGGTCGAAAACACGTCCATGTCAAGGTAATCGTGTTGTTCTTGCGTCAGGTTTGGTGCTCCCAACGACATGAACGGCACCAACCTACACCGCGACACACTGTCTCTAGGAACAACCATGATTGCATCTTGCGTGTGATACTGCTGTATGCTGCTCCCAATGATATCAATGGCATCGCAAAGACACAAGGATACCAGCTACCGCAACAGACGCTTGTTACATTTTGGGGATACTAGGGTAGCACGGGACGCGCGTGAAAACTCGGTCGGACGGCATGCACTTCAGTCGGGATCCTTCTACGTACTTATGGGGCAGTTGAAATATCTTGGCACAGGTTGTTGGAACGCAACCACAAGTAAAATGAAGGGCGTAGTGTGTTGCCTGCGATCACGTGTCCTTCAGCACACGGGGCGGAGCATGTCCAGGTACCGCCGATCAAGACGGTGGTCTGGAGAGAGGAGGAACGGCAACCCTTGCTGGTGGAACTGGCGCGCAGACGACAGGCTCGGACACCTTTCCGGAATTCATTGTCACACCGCTTGCCGCAAGCGTGTTCCTCTTCAATTCAATTCAAGTGCAACCGGCCAAAGGGAAACCCCGATTGAAGCAACACCAAAATTCCATCATTAACCCTAACCTTAAACCTATCCCGGACTACAATAATATCTGTGGAGGACACGATAATTTGTTGTGCACATGTAAAACTGAAAAAAAGTCATACGGCGGATACGATATGAAAAATGGAGAAAAAAGGGGTGGGGGGGTGGGGGGGGGGGCACGCATACGCACTTTCAACGCCGCCTGGGTCTGTGTCTGCGTGCACTCCTCTGCGTGGACCTCGTGCCCCGCCTCTCCTTCATGGTGCTCGTGCTCTCCAAATGGTCCATGGTGGCCGTCATGCCCTTCGAAGCCCTCGGGGTGGTGGTGCTCGTGATCTCCGTGTTCTCCGTGTTCTCCGAGTCCAAAGGGACCATGGTGTTCGTCGTGGTGCCCCTCGTGTTCATCGCCCCTGATCATCATCATCATCATCATCATTATTATCATCAGCAGCAGCAGAGGCAGAGAGGGTCGATCGTTCATGGGGGTGTACTGTATCACGGACAAAGTAGGCACGTCCAAACAAGCACCGACATCAAGTGTCCACTGCGCGCGGAATAACGTGTCGGTTTCAAAACTTGAGTGTGCTGTCACGTTCCGCCCTTTGGCACATACGTTTGAACAACCCGCCAACGCTGAATTGCTCCGCGACTCTGGCGTGTGCCACACATACAGTCGGCGCCCGCGTTCAAGAGACATCAATTTGGGGTCGAGGCTCAATTTCTTACTTCACTTCGAAATCACCATCGTTGAGAATACCAGTTTAAGAGAGGGTTGGGACAAGCCAGTATTTCTCTCTTAAATCCGGTTTTCTCTTAAAACCATGGTCGTGACAAGGCAGTTTGATTAAATCGGTACTATCTCTTCAACAGTCTCTTAAACCGTAGCCGCTGTAGGCCATTTCATAGAGTTTAGGGTAGGATTACGGCTGAGGTGTGTTTCTTGAGCACTACCGTAGGGTCGCGAGTCGGCGCACAGGGGTGCGAACGATTTTCAAAGCGTAATTTTCTCCACAAGCAGGAGGTTACCACTGTCGAAAAGGGCGGTTTTGGAAATATCTCATCGAGAGCTTTCCTGACAAGTATCAGTTGGCGCTCGCACCCTCCTGGTTGTGGAGAAAATACGCTTTGAAAATCAATCGCACTCCTGTGCGCTGACTCGCAACCTTGCGGCAGTCTTCGATTTTTCTTGATTATCGCCGAAATCTGAGCCTTAATAGTACAAGTACTTTCTTAAAGGCGGTAACTGCACTGCTGTACTCGGAAGCTCTTGATGATATCCGAAGCCGCTCTGTATGACACAGGCATATCTTCCCCGGCGGAGCAACCGAGCTTTGAAACACGGCCTACCGGGAGTCTGGCATGGTACCGTTGACTGTGGGTATATCTCGAATGGGTAGTCTTTCTGTGTGTGTATTCATTTTTCCATAATGGTACCGTTGAGTATCGTAGAGCAGCGTGCGGTGTAAGTCTAGACCATGCACGCAAGCGAATGCGCATTTTGCACAGATGAGAGCAAAAGGAGAGATCAGCGATGAATTCACAGCGCCATGTGCACATGGTGACGGCCAACCGGTGAAAACTCTTTTGCTAAGGGGACAACCTGATGCGTACGGGAGCGCGATGTCGTGTGCTGTACGTACGCAGCCTCGCTTGAATTGAGAGTAGTTTCAGAGCTGTCAACTTCATCTAATCAAACCGAATCTGATATGTCCTACCGCTGATACAGGACGCGAAGAGAAGCATTGACAGCGGTCCTGTCAGTATCGGGATACCGAATACTCCAGTAGTGCCCACGGCTTGCTCGAACGCAATGGTTGACGGTCGGAATACCATTTCTCGGAACTTGCCTTGTTCCTAGCTTTTCACCCTACAGCAACCTAGCGCTGACAACCGTGCACGGCAACCTAGCCCTTGCGCCCTCTTGCGCCGCGGCGCAGGCGTACACGTAGAGCAGCAACCTAGCGTTTCACCTGTACCGCCGTAGGCTCACGTGTAGAGCAATCTAGCGCCAACCGTGCACACCAACCTAGCTCTTACCCCTCTTGCGCCGCAGCATTTGACGCGGATTCGGCATACTACGTACAGCTGTGACCTAGGGCTTACCAGTGTGGTATGCATACAGCTTTGGGTCGGGGTTACGGATAGGGGCATTTCCATCCTAGATTTGGACCGACGCGAACAAAAATGCACAGCAGCAGCCCGGGTTCGAACCAGGTAGCATTAGCTTCGATCCATCGGGGAATATTCCGCCTTTCCCATCCCCACCTCCGCCCGGCTGTGCCTCGGGCTATGCATATACTGCAACTGCGTGGACTTGTATCCAGGAAGTTTCCACAGGAAATTTCCCGTCAACCATGGCGTTCAACCAAGTCCTTTATCACCTCCCCTTTCGACCAACAGCCAAGTCGCGGAATCACTACTGAACGCTGGAACCACTCCCTTCTCCTGACATCAGAGACACCCACCGACATACGGCCTATATAGGGAGCAGCCGATAGTAGACAGAAAGGCTTCACGATATCTGCGGCACCCCGGTCTGGCAAGCCGTCACGCGTGACATGGAAAATAGAGTTTGGTGTCATCTGGTGTTTTCATGAAACCGGGGAAGAAAAATTGCTAGCGGCGCCGCGGTTGAGAAGGGGTGACGACAAGAGTTAGTAAGTACAATCTTGATGGCCCCCCCGCAGCTGCGTGTGAAAAGAGAGATGTAAAAAGAAGTACGTAGAACACGAGCAGGAAGAGACGCGGGGGGCAGGGATCACAGGCAGGAAGGAAGTGAGAGACTACATTACTGTAGCGGAAAAAAAAAAGGGCATCGATTACAGCGAGCCCTCTTTTTCCCCCACCCTCCCTCCCGAAGACACCACACGTAGCGTGTGATCATCACACGCTACATCACACGCTACATCACACGCTACATGGGAACGGTGTATCCTTCCATCTGTTTTTTTTTTTGAAATGTCACAACGAATCCATCTCTATCTGTAGAAACGAGTCTACGATAGGTAACAATGAATTCATAGCGTCACCGGAAGCTACCTGTATTTCGACGTCTACAATTTCCGAGCAGCATTTTTGTCCGCCATCACTCGGGAACTTTCTGGGACGTTTTTCGTGATTCGCTCTCCGGCTCCTTAGTGTGTTGCCTTCGGTTGGAGAATATTTACACCACAACGGAATTGGAAAAAATCCGTCCACTACCGCCGCACAAGGCTTCAGCGCAGCATAGCAGACGTCTCCTTAGGTGTAGTCACACCGGAGTCCACCTGTGGGGAGCTACTGCTGCTGTGAGGAGTTCTGGTTCAAGTTGGCGACTCCTAGGTGACCGCAGTTTACACAAGTAAAGAACTACAAGCAGTAGTCGACAGCAGTACTGCTGTACTACGGCGAACCCCGCCACCACTATGGCCAGCCAGGGAAAAATCAGTAAACACAACTCTAATCAACCCCCATGATTCTTGTGCAGACGACGCGTGTCAATAGCGCTCTTTCATCCGGACACTGTATTATAGTGTCATCACGGTCACCGAGGAAGGCGGCGCTGCAATTGGGAGTCGTTGTTCCTCTGCCATCAAAAAGACAGGGAGGAGAGTTGGTACCAGCATTTCGCAACATACGACGTGATGCGGCCGAAATGATATAGGCGGAAAATACTGGCCATGACGCGATGCACAGCAGTCAAGCACCGACGAAATGCCTTGTCTTGTGTGTATCCCACGCCAAGCGGGCAGCAGCGTAGTGTGGGGGGTGAACACCCTCCGGCCTCCGGCCCGCGCGCCCTTATCACGCAAAATAACGAACAGCGTCATCAGCTGCTGCAGCAGTACCGGCAGCGCAACATCGCTCTTATATTGTACCTGGTAGTTGTATGCAATTCTCCATAAAAAGGCCGCACACTTTCCCGGTGGGTGTAGAAAACGCTGCCGCCATCCCCTCACACACAGAAAACAACAGGGGTAAATCTCGACATGTACTCGCAACGCTCGTGTATCGTCCACCTTTTTTACCGCCATCCACTCACCTCTCTCCCCCCGCGATAGTCACCAGCACGGCTACCGCCAGGAGACGTACCAGCAGCGCTGGGCGCGAACTTCCGACTCTCATTTTCTCCGATGCCTGCTCCCACCGCCGTATTTCGTTCAAGTCCGCTCCCCCCCCGACCTGATGTAATCTCTAAGTCAGGGCACACTCCAATTGTTCGAGACACACAGCAGTCCGCCACACCGCAACAGTGATGAGTGTGACGCCCGGCGATCGAACTGCAGACTGGAGCAGGCACCGCAGCGAGAGCACACACGCACGCTGAATCCCGATACACGGAGCCCCCTACTGATACCACGGAGCCCCCCCTTTTTTTTTTTTTTTTTTAATTTTCTAACACTGCTGCTCACCTGTCACATCGATTTCTCCACTCCCGTGCCGCTGTACTACTGGTGCGTGCCCTACGGCATACGCCCGCCGCGTCACGCCATTCCGAACCAAGGTGGGCTTCGTGTGGACCGCTTTGATGAACTGGGTTTGTTCTTGAAGCGCTTCTTCTTCTGATTTCGAGAAAAATAGCAGCCAGAGCTGATGGTGTGATACGCAGCAAGTGACATGCCTCGCCTCCAAACACAAGATTTTTTTGTTTTGTGCTTGGAAAGGTTTGATACAATGCGTGAGGTCGAGAGAGCGAGTCAGGTACCCTAACCGATGCTCGTCCCTCTCGGGAGCGGTATGGCCCGAGGTACCACGGCTCCGCCACTAGCTCGTTCGCAAGAGAGGGGTACTCGAGCGACTATTATCAAACCCGTTGGTTGTGTTGGCATCATCACATTCTCATTTCTCTCCTGTTCTCGTATGCCGAGCCTTTGCGCCGCTCCGCGTGTCTGCTGTCTGTCTGTCTTCTTCAGCCTTTAGCCCCATCTCAGGCGGAGAACTCCCATGAGTCACACGGCAACCCCTGCTGTTGTGCCTCCCGAAGCAGCATCGGCGACTTCGACATCGGCAGCAGGTACACAGCAGTAGATGGCTAGCACCTATGTAAGTCACGATGGTTGGTTGTTTTCTGCTTCCAAAGGGGAGCTCCACTTGTCACACAACACGTGTGTGTATCTTGCAGAGACGTCTCAATGCGCGCGCGGGGTTGCTTGCTGGTAATAGCTCAAGGTACTACCAGAGGGCGACACGCATTTTCGATAGGCTGCAGCGGCTGCTGTAGTGCTGTCCTTGGACCATGCCGCCAGATGTACATGTGCTCGACCACCATATGTCGTCACATGCGTACATAACAAATCCTGATGGGAGAGAGGTATCCACCATCTACACCAACAGGCGCCAAATAAATAGAAACACTGCTGCTGCTGCTGTGTTTTTTTGTGTGTGCGGCGAGGTTGCATCACATGAGCCTACAGGACAACCCCACCCCGAGGGTCCTTGTGTGTCATCGGTCTCCTGTGTTTGCTGTGTGCCACACCTCCGCTGTTGGAATATATGGTAGGCCTCGAGTTTCCTTGAGTCATGTAACGGGGTCGGCGGGTGCACGATGCATACGGCAGAGTTCTGTGTGCTTGGATTGAAAAATGAGCAAGCAACTAACCTGCCGCCGACGGCGACGGTGGGATGCGAGCGATCTGCACATTCACACACGCACACAGCAGTCACTATCTTGTGCTTCTAAGGTCGAGATGGACCAGTGAATTCGTTCAGAGGGTGTCATTGATTTACCGCGCAAGCAGGAGAACTCGCGGATGAACTCCTCTCGTTGTGTAAATACGGCAGAGTTCTGTGCTTGCAGGGCAGGAACACCGGGTTCTGGTGCGATGTGAGCGATCTGGACGTTCACAGATACAACACACACACACATCCGTCACCAGTTTGTGCTTCTAAGATCGGCATGAGCCAATACTCTCGTCCAGGAGGTGGTACGGATTCATCGCACAAACAGGAGCTCGCAACGGTTCAACCTCCGGTGTATGTAATACGGCAGAGTTCTGTGCTTGAACAGTAGCACACCGCGCGCCGGTGCATGCGAGAGACCTGGGACGCTCACAGATAACAAACACATTTTGCAGCCAGCAGGGCTTCTAAGGTCGACAAGAACCAATAGGCATGCTCAGAAGGTGGTGTAGATTTATCGCACAAACAGGAGCTCGCAGCGGTTCAACCTCCGGTGTAATACTGCAGAGTTCTGTGCTTGAACAGTAGCACACCGCGTGTGCCGGTTCATGCGAGAGATCTGGGACTCTCACACACAACAAACACACATTGCAGTCAGCAGAGCTTCTACTTCGGTGGAGACGAACCAATGGATTTATCGCGCAATGGGACCCGGGTGTGTTTTGAATTATATATTATAGTGCGTCGACCGGTCAGGCTCAACGTTTCACAGGGCCTACTGCTGCTGTATTTTGTGATGTTTAGTGTGGCGCCGGCGGCTGAGCCGAATTCCTTCTGGCGTTGATCTTACTTTCCCCGAAAGGTCGGAGCTTCGATTTCCTGTCGATGTGTTTCTGTGAGCGGGCGCCAGCTTGGCCGTAAGATTGTAAAATGAGCGCCGATATGCGTACCACAGCCCGCCGATATACCCTCGCGGCAGTGCGTTGGTGAACAGCAGTGCTTACCGGTGGTCCTTGGCGTAAGGTTAACGTTAGCGTTTTACCGTATTATCCTCTGGTATAACCCCCCTCCATGTCGTAGCCCGTTTGTTTTAATCGCCGTGGTACCTCAAAAACTTTGAGTTTGCCCCGGGGGTATCTTTTCTTCTTGTTCATTTTTTTCTCGCTCTATCTTTGGTTTAGCCCCCCGGGTGTTCGTTTCTCGGCAATTTTTTGGGGCGCCCCACGGGGCGTTCGCACACAATCCCACGGACGGTATTTCATTGTGGCAGCATTTCTCGTGTGTGTGCTAGTTGGCGTACTTGTTGTAGTTGTTTTGGGTGTTGGTGTCAGAATGTTGGTGTTACGAGCGGGGTACTCACATTCTTTGAAGTATAGTCCCGTCGTCGTCTTCAAATCGGGCATCATATCGGTACTGCTGTCCACAAACATCGTACACAACAAGCAAATACTTCGGTAACCCAAGACAACTCTCGCCCTCGCGCAGTGTACAGCATAAGGCGGCGCTGACGCGCTGATCCACACGATGTCGGGACTCAACAGCATCATGAGAAAACATACAACAACATATTTGAAGACTACAGCAGTTGATAGCCCGGATAGCAGTAGTACCCACGAATCATGTCTGCGTCACCCCCCTGCCTCGGCGTGGCAAGGCAAAGACATAGACAGCAGCAGCAGCAGCAGCAGCAGCAGTTACGTTTGGCGTTGGTACTCCTGTGAACCATAAAACAACGAAACCAGAGCCTACATTATTTTCGGTTTTCGGTTTGAGGTATTTTTTGGGCCACCCCTCTTTGCGGCGCGATGCAGACCCCGACCTTTGTTTATCCTGTTCCTGCGTATGCCCCTCCCTCCTCCAAACCCGCGGGCGCAGCAGGCCAAGGCAGTCCGGGAGCCATGGCCGCCCCAGCAGCAGCAGCAGCTGCAACCACTGGTGCGGACAACGTGGCTACCTCCTCCTCCTCCTCCTCCCCATTCCAGGCGCCGTCCCCGGTCACGTTGTCTTTGTCTCCATCGGCCCTAAGGTCTGCCCCTGCTGGCGCCGGCCGCGGCGTCGCCGCCGCGGCCGCCGCCGTGGCCGCTGCCGCCGCTGTCGGCAACGGCGGCGGCAGCGGTAGCAGGACCGGGATCGCGACCGGTGGCCTGGTCGCTGGCCGCCTCAGCAGCGGTGGCAGCAGTGTAGCGACGCCCATGCACGGTCACGGCGGAGCAGCGGGCTTCGGCAGCGGCAGTTTCGCGGGCGTTCACGCTGACGCCGCTTCCGGAGAGCACATCTTTGGCGGCGGCGGCGGGGGCGGTGGGTTGATGCCGCCGGGCCGCTCGATCCCACGGTGCGGTGGTGGTGGCGGCGGTAGCAGCACCTCGGGTCCCCCCTTCCCCGGGTGAGTTTTTTTGTCGTCCTACCGTACGTTGCATAAGATATCACACCCCCTGGACCGATTTACAAAGCTCGATTACTCCACGACGGAGAGGATGCCGAAAGTGAAGTATACGCTTTCGGAAAGGAAATTTTTCTCTCGACGAGAGACGGTTCCAACGCCTCCCGCCATTTTCGGCACAGTCATTGTTCTTCCAGCCGAGATATCGAGCTTCCAATATTGGTTCAGGGGGTGTGATATCTTACGTCATGCAACCTACGGTAGCTCGTGTTCCCCCTGCTCCCTTTGCCTTGCGGTTGGTCTTCTTGTCTTTTCTTTTATTCATGCCCCAACAAGAGAAGTGTTTTGAGCGTGTTGCTTGCTGTTTTTTTTTTTTTCTCTTTTTGTGCGCACACGCAGAAACCACATACCTACACACTATTGCTAGGCGTGAGCTTGGGTCCCGCCGTGTGTCTTCTTGGAGTACTCCTATGTTGCAATTCCAGTCTTCGACTCCCATCCTTTGCCACATGCCTTGATGGCTTCACACCGCCCTGACTGACCACAAGCTTCACTGACACCGTTAAAACCTCTCCCCCCACCGCTACGCACGCATGCACGCGCGATCATGTCACGCGACAGGTCGAGGCCTTCAAGGAAGCGGGGCGACTCCGAGGAAATTTTCGAGGGTTCTTCGAGGGGGTCAACCCCAGTGGGCGGCAAGCGCAGGAGGCGCGACGGCAGCGACATCGCGGGCCACTGGCACTGCGTGTTCAAGCTCACCCCGGACGAGAACACTAGCTTTATGGACAACATCAGGGTGCGTTAAACAGCATTAGGATGCGTTAAACAGCGTCAAGCTCACCCCGGACGAGAACACTAGCTTAATGGACAACATCAGGGTGCGTTAAACAACATTAGGATGCGTTAAACAGCTTCAAGCTCACCCCTGGCGTAACATTTAGCTGTTTTAACAGCAACAGGGTGGGTTAAACAAGTCGATGACTTTTTCAGGGTGCGTTAAACAGGTAGCTTCTACGCACAACAGCGCTATGAAAACATCAGGGTTCGTTAAACAGCTATATCAACACAACACTAGGGGTCAGTTAGACCCGACCCTGGAACCTTGGGCCTCGAAACGCAAGCT